GAAAATATTATATTCTTGCTGAGATATATTTTCGGAGAGCAGGTGTCAAGTACTGTCTAGTATACGATACACAATACGATACGTTAAACATATCAGTACGGCATTTACTCGATAATATGACGGATTTAGAGATAGTTGTATTACAGTGGGTTACGCAAGCAGCCTCCGTGAACTATTAAAAACAGTACCATTGCTAGCGCTTGATATAATATATCTGCTATAATACAGAATAGCGTACCGTCATTAACCCATTCGATCTATTTCTGCTATGCCTAATCTGTAAATCACCAAGTGAATAAGCTTTCCTGATTCCGCCTGTTCAAATGGTTCATTATAACAAAATGAAAAGCCCTAAAAACGCGCATAGCCCGTACTTCTACTGTCTATTTGTTACTTCACTAAATAGATTCCACCTTAAATTGTAACTTTGTAGGCTAAGTACTCCAACCAATTTCATTAATTAGCTATAAGTCTGTTTATAACAAATGTAATATTGCTTATTTGATTTAACCTAGCAGGAAGATCGCCGCAGTGAGCTTGCTCGTCCTGTGCGGGCTTTATTATACGCCTTTCTACTGAGCTGGCAAGGAGTAACTGCAGTAAAGGGCAACTTCGAACGAGGGAATTCTTCTTGGTTCCGAAGATCTCCAAAGGGCCCGCCCTTCAGTCTTCATTACCACGGATCTATAAAACGTAGACAGCAGCGGGACATCCACGTAATCCTGCGCTATAAACCCACCGTTTACATCGGGTAGCTGTGATTAGTTTTGCCGCAAGCCTAGGGCCCAAAACCACAAGGGCGATGCGATAATCTGCAACTATAACAAACAGAGCGTACCTTTGCCTCCTTCGCGTAGCTTTTGTATTTCGAATAACGGTGATTTTAACATGAAACAGCTCCATATTACCCTCGATAGTTGTGGCACGCTAAAATGTGCGGTGTCCTATTGGAAGCAGACATTCTCAGGGGCATTGCCAGAAAGTTGACAAGAATGTCAAAAATAATTATGCACCTTTCGCACAATGTCCTCATTAAATCAGTCCTGAGCAAAATATGTCGGCAGACCATTCTGTGTTAGGAGGACTTTTCAGGAGCATAATCTCATACGTAATTATGCTAATAAAATTCGGCTACGTACAGTATTTACCAATAATTTGGCGAGCTAGTAAGGGGTTGCTGCGCGATACGACATAGGACTTCTATTCTTAAATCAATCAGGCGCTGGGTATTATCCATCACTGTTGCCCGTCTGGTAGCCTTAACCAGTCACTCGAAACTCTAGACAGAGCTCGTGTCTGCAAGCTATAACGAACGTTGAAGCTAGTACGTACAAAACAACTTCATACAGTTTCTCAGGGGCCTTCGATAGCCTCTGGTTAAAATCAGATTCAACAGCTGCTTCTCTGACGCACAAATACTATCCTTATAAGCTGACTCCGCCTCCTACCATGATTGAACGATTTCTTATCATATTTCCTTAGCGTACATAGGAAATATATTTCCTGATATCGACGAAACGTTCCAGCTATCCCAGAACACATATGCAGCCTTCCGTAGAAGCGAAACCATTCCTGGCTTGGTAGCCTGTCGCTTAGGTGCCCCATTGTTTTTCTGTTTTTCGGAAATTATCAGCATAGATAGAAGCCATAGTGTTGTTTGTATCGTTGTACCGAAACAGTAGGATCCCGGATTCTATAACAACGCCTTAATCTAGAGAGACAGTTAAACTGGGCCAGTGACGATTGATATATGGACTACGTATTCCTTGAAAACTCTGCTTCATGTTACTGGACCAAGTATCCTACAATATTAAATCAAGAGCTGGCACTGTGCCCAGGCGATACAGGTCTGGTAATTCTGCTCGAAGTCTACCCAGCACGAACAAGTCCCGCTCTCTAATTAGATCATTTTGAAAAATTGAAAACATCCCTAATAAATGGCTGCTCTCTTTATCGGTCCGTAGATTGAATGGGACTGACGATATTATCGATTTCCGCAAAATTAAAACCCAACGCTTGCTCTATATGAACGAATACTGCCAATTTGGTTCTTCTGATGGTTCAACTCAAGAAGACAAGTTTGTTTACATACATTTATTTGTAAATATGAAGTCCTGCTGTGTTAGCCGAGAGTGCCATAGCTAGTCAGTTATAATATAATGCATAATAATAGTTATAATAATAAGTGCGGCCCATAACATCAACAACCTTATTCAAATCATCATTATGATCATATGTATCGACTATCTCATAAACCTAGGCAACTCGCTGAAACATCAAGAAGCTTCGGCCCGGCAATTTATGAAGTTGCGTAAAAACTGACCGTAGGTAGATAACTATTTTTTTTTATTGTATCAGAAAAGTACCATACTGCTGTCTTTATTTAATCATAAATATTGCAAATTTACTATATCATGATTGTTAATTATGGTAGATTCGTTTTTTTTCTAGGAATAGCGTTCGCTTATACAGTCATCGTTAGGTATTTACGTATTGAAGTATTTGCTTGTTATTGTAGAATGTTGATCATCTCATGGATGAGGAGAGGATGGCTGTGGCAAAGGCTAATTAGATCGCAACAAACGCCGTAAGCGCTGATATGACTCCGGTCGGGTAACTACGTGAAGCTTTATACACTGCTCGATTAGCCAGCAGCACTAAGTAACGAAGACTCGAATCAGTACCTGGAATATATGGCACGATCTACCCATTGCAAACACCTTTCTGCTTGCGTTGTTCTAGTTGGCTACGAGCCGTTTTGTGCGCGGTACTGAAATTTTGGATTAAAGAGCCGCTTAACAATTTTACATGCTAATAGTAACCTGCGACCTTATTACAGGACGGTGATGGTTTGTCCACCCACATCAGTGAACAGAGACAACCTAGGCAGACACCTATCTGTCACGCACTTGTAAGCTTGTTCCTCATGTACGGAAGTTCATGTTTCTTTTCGTCAGTGGCATGTATGCTTCTGCGTCCTAAATCCATTATTTCCGCATCATCGCACACATGTAGCCTGCCTATAAAGAACCGCCTGCACAGCTCAATGGTAAAATTAAAAACGGACTACTGGCCCGAGTCTAAGCAGTATGAGTCACATTGAACGCGTCGTTAAGGGGTATCCAAATATCTCAGTAAATATAAGCAAGTCGTCCACTTTCATACATACATCAACCGCGTGTTTGAATCTCGCCATCGAAATGCAAAACGTTCGCTCAGTTCTGTAGACGCCCAGAAAGAGAGCAAACGAAGGCGGTAACTCTATCGGCATTTCGTCCAGCGCCGCGTATTAGCTATTGTCCGAGGACCTTCAACCTTTAGGGGGACAGGTGTGGATGCATCTCCTTTATTTCGACTAACGTCCAATTTGGCCTACACTGTTTACTCACTTATGCTAGCTATTTGCATGGCAATATAGTACATAGATCTGAACTCTGCAGTTCCATTCCGAAGTACAGCCCGCTGATATGGTCACGGAGCACTGCCAGTATCCGCGGTTGAGGGCTTATATTCGGACGCACAGAGCCATTTGACCTATTTTAAGTGAGCACACGAACATGTCCTCACTCAAAATAGGTCGTCGTCGTCGTCGTCGTCGAAGTAAGGTCTCGTCCAGATTACTATAGACAGATCGTTTCTGTTTAGGAAAAAATATTGCAACTATATTCACAAAATTCCAGACAAAGCTTGAATATAAAATTGTTTCCTACGTTTAGCATTATATCGCCTAGAGTTTATATAAAAAGTATCTATTTACGAACTATATGCATTTCGAATGACCCAATGCCGCCAAATGAGCACATTTAAGACCCAAGGACCAGTGGCTGACCAACTAAATCAGCCACTGCATTTTTAACATGCCCACATTAAAGAAACCATGGAAACCTGTTTTTGCCTTCTGGAAAAAGAGCTCGTCAGCTAGCAGCTAGTGATCAGACTTGTCCGTTAGTGGTAATCATTCCCAATTGGATAAGACAGTACTAATGATCGAGTTAGCGAGAATCTCTCGCGTTTGCATGCTAAATGCGCGTCTACTGTCAAACTTTTGACAAGCTTCTGTGTGTTTTTTTTGAGGCCCGTGACGTGATGAATTCCATTTCTTTGAATGAGATCATATTATATTGTTTTTATCTTAGACTGGCTAAGTCTCGCGAAACAACAAACAGCGTTTCGACAGTCTTCTCGACTAACCTCTCAATAAGCGGACAATTAGGGAAACATAGCGATAAGGCATACCTATGAAAGGCCACCTGTCTAGTTAATAGATAAAGATTTAATCATACGAATTAAAACAGAGAACGTCTGTTTTCAATATTTTCTTGATACCTTGCACACATGACTATGAACGATACCTGCCCATTCTTTTAAATTGTACTTAGTTTCGAATGCAGTTACTCCACACTGCCGTTTGATATCTTGTTCAGAAGGCCAGCTTCTGATACCAGATCGATTAGCAGTAGGCTTTCAATTTGCACGAAGTCTATGGTTGACTTCTAACAAAGTAAAAAAGTAAACTGTCCCAAGAAGGACCGGTTCCCATTCCCTTTCTACCTGTCCATTGCGTCAGTGCCGGACTAGTCACAGCACTCTCTCGGAAATTTTATCACAAAATTTCCGCGTGAGTGCATTTAGGTTTACTTCGTACGGTGATTTCTAATGACAACTGCATTAGGTCGCGAGCTGAGACGATCGATCCAAACGACTCAGTGAGAAAGTTGCTATCATTTTGCGTAGATTGTAAAAATTTTAAAGTTAGTTAAATTACCCTCTCTGCTGCATTGTTTCCGCAAAAACACCCTTTATGGTAATTCCTTTCTAATTCTATAAGCTACATAACCTATGAGATATATCCGTTTAAGTGGCTCTTTTCAATCTGTACAACAAGCTAAAGTACGAATAAAGTTACCATGAAGGGATGTAGCCTCCTATGATACCCTTAACAGAGCTTCTCTACTTTGTTCATGTGGCAAAGTGAATATATAATATGAGATCGTATCTGTTTGACATGCTTTCAACCAAATTTTAGAATAATATATTTGCGACCACGTATCGGCTCCCTTAACACATGAGTCTTACTTCGCAAATGGAGTGGGCACTGACATCTATAAAACCACAGCGGTAGAACTGACATCGGCGGGCCAGTTGATCGTTGATTATGCGTCCTAGCCAGTAGGAGCTCCGATAGTTGCTCCGTTAACGATCAGGCTATCGTTTCGGTATTTGCGGACTAACTGGCAGGCTAATACTACACTGAGAAATTCGACCACTCCAATGGCCATCGAAACAATTACTATGGCAAAAACTATGGTTTCGGCCACTTTCTTTATGTACACCCAACATCCGGGTCGTTTCAATGGGTCACCACCGCAGGATTTGGGCGGCTGCCCTGGATATCCTGGTACATTCTTCCAGTCGACGTGACCTTCAAGACCGCAACATTCGGCATGGCTTTGTATGGTGTCCCACTGCTTTCTGGCCGATACGACTGTGTAGTACCGGAACATTGTCTCGTTAACCAGCGCTTGTCGGTTCACTACATTATTATGGATTGCGAACATGAAGATAATGACCCAGACCTGAATTAACAGTAGTATGCTTAAAAAGACAGAATACGTTTTTAGCATGATGCTACTCTTTTTATAAACACCGCAACAGCCGAGAAGGGCAGCACTAAACAAAGTGGATCCAATACCGATATTGATTAATAGAAGGCCATTTTCAGCAGGTATGTCATTGCTATATTGGCCTTGCTGACGTAATGCCCAGCCAAAATACGTGAGACCAAGTATTCCAAAAGCGATGTTCAACAACAAGAACAGAAATTTCACGAATTTCGCCCAAGTCCGGCCCATCGCTCGGCTCAATTTGGTTTCTACTGCTTGTACAATACTACAATACTTCTAGGATTTCAACTGTGGTCGATATTTTCGTTTTCTTATGTCACTCAACGAGGCTCTGTGGGTTAAAGGAGGTCATATTCTGAATGAAGCGCGTCATGCATCATTCGACACGACTGATCTAACTCCGAACAGAAAACAATAACTAAGATGGTGCTGTAGAAGACCATCATTAATCTTTCGGGAGAAAAATGGTGTTATCTATAAGACACTGCTAATTGTAATTTAGACAAATTGTTCTGATTTTCGCAATTTTTAACATTGGATGTATATGTGTAGCGTGATCCCTAACAAAAATTCACGTTCGGTCCGGCTTGACCACGACGCTGGTGACCTAGGGAACCAACTTTAATCCGATAATATGAAAGGTTTCTTTGTTATAACCTATGACAATGATAATGCCAGTAATTATAGCAGAGATCAATCAAATCAAGACCTTTTCGGGTGCTCTTACAAAAAGGACGAACGGTACCATAAGTAAGGGATGCTGCGAATGTGAGTAACTTTTTTCTTAATTTGGCAAATTTCAAGGAGAGCATTCCTTTTGGCTTGACACAAATCTGTTTGTTTCTTGTATCCTTCGATATACAGCGAGGGGTACCCGTTAGCGTGCTATACCACGTATGCGTAAATATGACTTTGTATCGAATTAAAGTTTACCATAGTAAAGAAGAAGATGCTTAAAATATCGGGTTTGCCTTTTTTCCTGTTATGCATCCGTACTGCTCTGAGTAGACTCATCGACCATGGACTTCTTTAATCGAAGATTTTTCAGTAGATTAACAAAAACGGTTCATTTGATTAGAAACCTACGGGTGAGCAATATTTACGAGCTTTTAGAAGCGCTAAAAAGTAAATTATTTCCCCTAAAAGTTTGATATTAATTATATAGAGCATAAGAATATAGGAACTATAAGATGTGGATCCGCTTCACAAGTACGCTATCGCTGTTATCTTACCATGCTTTCAGAACTCGGTATTATATTAGATTTGAACAAAAAAGATTACGTTTTTATTCCTGTGACAATAAGTTAGCATACTATATATTCCGATACTATATAATTGTTTGCGATTTTCTCCTATCGTTTCATGAAATATACCGTCTTGCCAAGAGGTAGTGACCTTCGTCTTCAAAAAACTTTTCAGCCGTGTTTTGAATTGTTAGTTGGTGTTGCAGGGGAAAATCACAAAAAGGCAGAGGCCGGAAAACACAAAGAGTGTAACAAGGCGCCCTGTTCAAGTCCAGGAGGACAGCAGCCTTACCTTATTTGCCATATTTAGCCCCGCATTATCATGGAACAGACCTAACCTAGTTTGTCGCGCTCTTTTCTCTCGACCTGCTACAAATGAAACAAACAAACAAATGTGTCGATCAATCCGGCTTTTGCAGTTTCACAACATTCAAGGCATAATGTTTAGAGACCCTGGGCCACGGCTTCTATCCTCGAGTGATCCTTTCCGATCTTTAATTTGTATCATGTACGAATATCACTTCTTATTACGATGACAACTATCTGATATTGTGGCCGCGTAATACTTTCTACCGAACGAGATGTGTAGCCAAAAAAAAACCTAATACATCTCCGATCTATCTGTGGTCCATTCTATGTTTCGAGTTTTACGTCGTGTATTGCCATTAGGCATCACAAGTTGACTCTTTGCGTCTAGACTACGTGCTCCTAAGATTAGCAGGCAAATGGGTTGTCCATTAGGCTATCACGAATACCCTAAAGTCTAACATCTGAGCAGGTACAGGTAAGATCGCTTCTAGGGGGTAGAACATCACACTGTAGTTAATAAACACTCAGCTGGATTGCCCAAATACACAACCTTCTCTTTACTGCTTAGACGCTATCTGCGAATTAGCTTTTAAAATGGTTATTTATTAAAAGCGACTTGGCACTTCCCCTTTGCAAAAAAAAAAAAAGGTTGAGATCTAGGCTGCACTAGCAACCCTCATGAAGGCGCAAATAATTTAAACTACCTATATATAGATAGCTGATTCGAACAGTGTAGCCCACTAACCGAAGATGCGTGGCGATCTAGCTTCGAGTATCTATAGAGCCAGCCACAATTTACGTCGCCCTTGAACAAAGGCGACTAAATGCCAGAAGACCCAGATGAGCGCTTTATAATGTTGACTGCGGTAAATCTTAAGTTACCTTCCATATCATTAAATCTATAAAAAAGTGGATGGAGGTAAAAAAATTCAAACAGAAACAGAAGTGTTCGATATTATGAAAACTATAAGCAAATCAACTACTCGGCTGTTTCCGTGAAGAATGCTATAAAAACTCTCAGAAAAACCAGCACTATAATTAGCCTGTATTTTATAAGTTTTGAATGAAGTGTATGAGAGAAATGACACATACGCTTCATTTGTTCATACCTATTTCATATGGTGTTCCCTACTATTTCTTTGTACAACCGTAGGAAACGAGGTCATCAACATTAATGCAGCAGAGGGTTTATATCTTGATCGTTCAGGAAGCCATTTCCAAGTCATATTTCGGTTGGCTGAAAAATGTTATGTTTGACATTACCTAATCACTATCTAACCTTTTTCGACCTAATAAAGGTGCATTCAAATTGGGAACAATGCATGCTAGTCGTGAGCCCGAACGGGTTGAGTAGATCAAATTTAGATCTTAGAGTTTTTTTGTTATGAAATAATAATAATTTGACTCGGTTTAACGTCATGCTTCGATGAAACAGCCATAGAGTGGTATAGCTTAGCTTATGACGGTGACTCTCAAAATTTTTAGATGCCCCGCAAAGGTCCAAAATGCAGTGTAGATTAGAAAGATGGTTAGCTGACGGGCATCAAATGTATGAGGCAAATGTTGCTTCCCTAAGTGCATTCGTGATAATTAAGTTTTAAGCTAAAATGCTATATTTAGGAAATATTCCTATTTGCAGGCGCACGATCAAAGGTTGAAGCTCGTCTCACGTAGGGCCGTCTGGCTGTACTTAGCTTATCAGATTGGAGGACCGTATCAGACTTTCTAAATTACGATTTGCGATTTTATCTATTATGTTAGTTATGTATAACATAGAATCATTTTTCAATATAATTCAGTCGAGTTTGTAAAATAATTTCATAAGTCATAAGATAAAAACGTTTCCCAAGTTATTAGGCAGTTCAAGTATGCAGATGTATACTCACAATTTTAATGCATTTAAAAAAGTCATAGCACATATAGTACTCAAGTTGTGTACTTCGTTTTGGTTAGCAGTTTTTTTGACCCTCGGCTTGATTATGCAATCAGGCCTCGACCAGCATCGATTGCATCAATCTAGTATCCGTCTCTCCACGGGCTACGACGATTACCGCCGGTGTTACGCAATAGTCATTATAATTTTTTATGTTGCTAGACCATAGATCACCATCCTCAGCTTTCGATGTTCAACGGAACGCTGGCCATCTCTTCCAGGGAAAGAGATTGTCAACGTTGAGAGAATAGGACCTACGAACAAGATGAATGCTTGGTCTAACACAGTACCGTGATCAGTGCTTCACTTTTGAACATAGCAAGAAATTTGGCCCTGTATTTAATAGATCTGCAACGAGAGATTTTTCTCCTCAACCCAAAGCCACCACAATATAGAATAACGAATGTTTACACATGAACCTTATTTATGCCATCCTACTGAGCGTCTCAACGTAGATATATTGTTACTTTTTCGGCACTTTATGTTTCCAGCATTTTTTCGGGTACTACTGTTTTGCCACACTTATGTCAGATTAAAAAAGAATTCCTAATATTGACGCGAAGTTCAATTAGGTGACGAACAGATCCTAAATGCGCGTATGTACTCGCTGATGTGATCGCCGTTTAAGGATTGATCATTTATTGGCGCTGCGGTCGCCCGCGTGGTCGATACCCTGAACAGTTAATGCCCGATAGCGTAGCGATAAGGACTTGCGAATAAAAAAAAACCTATTTCAAATGTAGCTTTATCGGTTCCAAACATCGCGGTCGTTTTAAGCACAGGAACTAGCAAGCGCCGCACCAGGCAAACTGTTCCTGCTTAAGGTTCCACCCTTTTCTCTATGCCTTATTCAGGTAGCATTGATACAAATCATCATTCAATTCACCTCTCATAATATCAACGTGTGAGGTTCCAAGAGGTAAGAAGGTGACAACGACGAGCGCAGAAATCATCATGAATATCGGAAGCGTCGCGTAAGGACTGAGTAGAAAAATGCTCCCGTTAGATTAGCCGGACTGAATTAGCAGGAGCCCAATGCGTAACACCAACCCGAGTCACGACTACTTTTCGATCGTAGAGCATTTTCGCAGTGCATAATGCGCTTCAAATAAAAATGATTAGACTAAGTGGCTACAGTTGAGCTTATTGCTGCTAATCTGATGCATCTAGAACGGCCTTCGTCTATCGATAGGCCCGAACCGTAAATTTAAAAATCACCTACTTTAAAGAGCGGTCCTGTATATATGTATATATATTGCTTGGCTCGATAAATTATATACTATTCACTCTAGCAGTGTACATAACAGGAGACAAGCAGGAATTTCACTTTTAGAAAGACAAGCTTCTACGTTAACCTATTTCCCGGTAACCTATTAGATCTTTACAACTTTTGCGCTTGAATGTATGCTTACCTTACCTTCTCCTTCCCCGCGGCAATAAAAATAAACTACGAATATTTCTACAAATTATCGACGGACCCTATATTTGATACCGACTGGTGTTAATGTTATGTATAGCTATGTAACAACGAGCGTGGTTGTAGCATTTACTACTGTTGTGATAACAGCTTGCTATCGCGATTTTTGAATTTTAGCGCCAAAATATATCAAACAATGGAAAAGGCCGAGAGAAAAACTGCAACGCAGCAAATAGCTGACGATATGGTAAGCGATCAATGATCGGTAAATAGCAACTAATCTGGTATTGGTCTTCCTATAACTACATGCCGTTTATTTTCTGTTTCCTAGATTGTAACGCCAATATTTCAGTTATGGTTTAGTTTGAACGACATTAAATGACATCAGCGTCCGCCTTCCACCTTTGACCAGTGCCCAGATCGAATGCCGTTACGTGCCATTGGTATACCAAAAAAATCCTTATTTAATAATAATCCGCTAACAACTAACGATCACAGCTCGGTCCTATTTGAAAGCACAACCGGAAAATACCGACTTCAGCTTCGATAAGACATGGCCAAACTAAATTTTTGGCTACAGTAACCAGCCTGCAGAGGTTTCCCATTGCATCGTTAGCTTAATTGTGCAAAGGTCAATGAGAATACTCTGTTTAGTTACTTAGCTAATTAATTTTTATGAGATCTCATGCGGAGCCGTCCTAATCGCCATCCTAACACTTAACTGTTCTGTTTTTTCAAAATCCAAATCACCCTTTGGTCATTTCTGAAGTTGGTTGAAAGAAGGTGAGTCAGTAACAACTTTTAAAAAATATGTTTTTATTTCCTCGAAAAAAAATTAAATGGGATAAACTTGTATGAATATCTTTAACTATCAGCAATGGCGTTTTACGCTCTTTTTGATGGATTTAACGTACTCAGTCTTTTCTATATTGTGAATCTTTTATGTCTACGTGTGAAAACCTTTTTCAGAAACGGCATAATTACCAACAACAGTATAGGCTGTCGACAAAATTATCATTTTGCCAACCCAATCCAAACCTCGTATTCCAATTCTCCAAGATGTGTTCCCATATATTCCGAATTACCGTTGTTAAATCAAAATACAAAGGTAGAGTAGATAAATCTAGTATCTGATGTCCCCTTGATTTTGCTTGGCGAGCTGCCCAGTAATGAATATTTTTGAGATGCTTGCAGCCTTCGTACAAGCTCAGACTCAAGCTGCATAGAAAGTTTTACTTCCTGCTGCGCAATATTCGAAGGTTGGCGCGTTTACCTATCGTTTGAGAATGACAAATCTAGTATCTAGGTTCTAGTCTATCCCGCACTATTCGTAGCAACGTTCGTTGCTCTTCGGCCCAGTGGACGAGTACGCTAACGACCATGCACAGGGGAACATCTGCCATTAAGTTTAACGATCATGTCCTTTGTATGGAGTTTCTCTTGCTACGTCCTAGCAAAGAGCCTAAAGCATTTTAAGGTCTATAAAATACACACCAATTACCTTCAAGTATATTAGATCAGACACTGTTCGTTAATACCTTGTATTCCTACACTATTGTTAGCACCAGGACATCTAAGCTGTAATTTGTTCCGTCCGCCACAACCGACGCGAACTGCGATCTGTTAGGGGAGCTGGTGATTGACCCATAGGATAGATAATCGCGCATGGACTTTACAAGAGTAATGAAAAACAATGAATGGTACCGCACGATCATCGGTTCTCAAGCTTTACATGACCATCAGTACTACCTGACGTATTCATGAAACGTGTAAAGCCTAATTTGTCATTCTTCACGCATCAACAGGAGCAGTTGTACGGATGCTCGGCATCTCGAGTAGCCACGGCGATGCCTGATGTAAAGATATTCCGAACACACAGGGGATGGAGCCTTTGCACATCCCCGTTCTACGGGGATTCAGCGTCCTCGAGGCTAAAGCTTTGTGGCGCCGCTCATAACGACCATGACATGCAGTTGGTTCGATCGCTGTCGCCTCGTTTAGCATCTTAACATTGCCAATCGTTTAGGCGAAATACCGAGGTAACGTACCCATAAAATCCTAACCACAAACGTTAACCGCTAGGTACGTACCTACATAGATGCGTTAACCATAATTGACTAATTAAGAGTCGAAGCTTTTTTCTTCGATAATTATTTTATTGTACAACCGATGACAATGAACTCTTAGATTAGTAGGCGGTAGTAAGAAAATTAAATATTGGAACATGGTTAACTCATAAATAGGTCAGTTCTGCCAGGTAACTCAATTGTCGAAGCGGTGGTGTGACGTCTCATCTCTCGCTCCTCCCTCGTTGACCGGGGTTACTGGCGAGGTAGCATGCACCTAGTATACCTGTGATCGTGACGACGGCAGTGGCTATAAGTATCACACGACCAATGAGAAACGCTACTCCTAACGTTTCCTTTTCGGGCTTCCAACATCCTGTTCGATTTAACGGCCTCACTCCACAGGAGTCAGGGAATATGCCCGGAAAGTTCGGCACTTTCTTCCAGTCAATGGGCCTGTCGAGGCCGCAGCATTCGTACGTTTTTTGCTTGGTATCCCACTCTCTTTTCGAGGTCTTATTTGTGTAGTACTCATACATTGTGTCATTCGAATAACTCTTGAAGTCCTCAAGGTGCCAACTAGCGTAGAATATAAGGCCGGAGATTACGAGCGCGCAGTACAGCATCAAGTTTAGGACAATGGCGTAAGTGATAAGTAAGCATACCTTCCGTTTGTATGTACTACAGCAGCCGAGTAACGAAACAAGAAGTATCACCATACCGAAAACGATGGCCGCTATCCCGGGTCGAAGAGCATCGCCGTTCTTCCATATGTAGTATGCGCCCAGAAGCAGAGTTAATATCGAAATTACCGCAAGAAGCAAGTTGATCAGTGTCAATGTCCACCTAACACAAGCCCTGTAGTTCTCCGTCATCGTCAATCCGAGTGTTCGTTTGCAACTATGCAGTTTTTCTTAGGATCAGTGTATCGAAATTAGCGAAGATCACAACCGATCTATTCGTTGTTTACAGCAATTAATGATTGCAATTCGGATCGCAGCAGGCGCTTACATAGTATTCATTATGCTCGAGAAGTTACGTTAGGTAGATGACTATGTCACTGATAAAGATATAGAAGCTAAGTGCAGGAAGTTCAGCCTAGCAAAGTTTTCAAAGATACACTAAAATTTTATCGAAGTAATGCTGAATGCGAAACATGCTATATACGTCGCGTGCCATTGCTCTAAGAAGTAGCCAGCGGAATATTTATACAGAACCGGGTTACTTCAGTTCTATAATAATTCTTCAATGATATGTCTGTGTCATTGATTAGGTACAGGTACGAGTAGTGCATATTTAGACGCATTGAAATGCATCGTGGATATGTCTCCAAGAAGCTTCACGCTTCAAGTCACAAAAGCAACAAAGTAACCACGAATACGCAGTACGCCATTATCGAGTTAAGTTGTTATTTCATTATAAGGTATCTTCGCTCAAGTAACCGTTGAAATCGATAAAATGTCATAAAGGAATACCATAGGCAAGCTGATTGCATTAACTCGCGTACCCCATGAGAGTATGATTTTTGAGGGGCTCAAAAAAGTTTTTTAGCTCGCTGTTTTTTGGCAAGGTGTAATATCTCCGCATAAACACCGTTGAGTAAATATCGTTCTTATTTGTACGATAAAAATAGGTTAAGCATTACAAAGCCTAGACCCAAGCGAATGCCTAATATGGAGCCCGTATCTATATGTAGCCGTCCAAAATACACCAAGAACCTATTCAATGGAATAGTCAGTTAACAAGCTACACCTTATCCATCCGTTATTATGACGTGCAGCTCCTATAAGGGAGCGTTATCAGTTTGTGCGGGGGCGTCGAATGTGACTGCATCCCATAGAATAGAATCACAAAGCAAAGGAATGCTAGTGTCATAACAAGCTATAAGGCTGCAACGGCGATCGAGCTGCTGAAATTAACCTTGATGACTCTATATTGTTTTCCGTCGCTAGCGAGTGCCGTTTAATAAATGCGGCGTAGTCTACGCACCCCAAATATGCTCCGCGGGTCTTCTCAGGCCACATTTGATTTGCGGCCAACGTTTGGTCTGTGTCTTTCGTCTGGTCGAAACGCATCGCTCATATTAGAAATACGTGCTATTTGTTGCAGCTTTGCAAAAAGTAGGGCGACTCTCCTATGTTCGACTAATGGACGAGTGGATTGTGCATCTTTTGTATACTTCAGAGCAAAGCAAATGATCAAAAAGTCATTTTTTTGTTAATTTCCTTTTCTCAGTCTGTAAAAGATTAAGTGTCACCTTAAAGATAAAACACCCTTCAATCACTTACGTGTTCAGGTGGACTTTATTACCGCAGAGAATTAAAATCAGCTGTTCAATGGACACATAAGTTTTCGCTGCTGTCTCAACGTAGGCTCTTGTACTTCTTAAGGCTCTAAATTTTCAAAATGTCGAAAAGACGCATTTGTCTCAGAACACATCGAAAACAGAATCGCATATAATAACATCGAAACATCTCTTTCCCGCCTTGTATGTGATAAGATTTGATTGGTACAATCATCGCCTTGGTATGCTTCTGACCACCGAATGCGTATTGACAAGGGCCGACAAGGCCGCTCTTCTATTGGTGATCACTGAGCCTATTGGTGTGGTTTGTACACGTAGGATCTGCGATACTGATGTGTTTCTACATATCTTGAATCGAAGAGGTTAAGGGAGACCCTACATTTTCCGTACGAAACTTACCTAGTCTAGTAAATGTTCATTCTCGAGATCCGCCACTGTTGTTTCTAAAAGGAAGGTCACGCGGGCAATCAAGGATAAAAGAATCTGAACTTTATCCAACCTTCTAGAATTTTTACACTGTCAAACTTCTTTTTCCGTATATAGTGCCAATGTTGTGATTTTAATAACATCCAGAGTGAATTCTTAAATGATGATACTATTTCGTTAAAGGTAAAACGATACTAATTTTTTTAAAAGTTAAACAGACACAACAGAACCGTGTGTCACCTCACAACTGAGCAAATAGATACGACAAAAATTTACGCCTGCCTATGTCAGTTCTGACATACTGACGAGCTTCCCGTGTGAAAGTGCCGGCTGGTTCCGCTGACATCTTGTCCAGGACTATAGGTGACATAGCAAGCACAGACCACTCCCATAAATGAAGCGGCAGCAAGCAGAGTAAATATTCCTTTACTGATCGTAAACACCATTTGCAGTGATTTCTCCAAGGATCCCCAGCATCCCTTTCGGTTCGACGGTTTGTCACCACAAGACTTTGGTTCTTCATGTAAGTATCCTGGTACATTCTTCCAGTCGCTGGGAGCTTCTAGACCACAGCACATATGCATCTTCTGAACTTCGTCCCACTCTTGTTTGGACCTCTTGTCGTTGTAATATTGATACATTGAAGAATTCATGCTATTTTTAATGAGCGAAATATTTGAATTGGCTAAATTGAATAGCAAAGCTAAAGCGAGACTGGCGAACATCAGCACCCCCAGCACTATGGCGTACGTGACAAGTAAGCAGACATTTTTGTTGTATACACCGAAGATGCCAATTATAGACAGGACGGACACTAGCAGACCCAGAATAACACCTGTTTTTCCATCGGTGACTGTGTTTGCCTTTACGTTCGCTGCGCTCCAAATCAAGATGGCTAGACCGAATAAAGTTATAACTGCATTTAGGCCTATTAACGTCAACCTTACGCATCTCCTACAGTTCGCCTGATCCATTACGGCTTTACATCTAGTGATTGGTAAGAATACAAACTCCTAAGGTCAATATTTATCATAGCGGATGTTTTCCTTTTTTATGTAGAATTTCGAAAGCATATTTAGTTATCAGCCAGGCTGTTACAAACTAATCAACATTTGACACTGAAAGCTTGTTAGGTGGCTTTGAATTGCATGCACTAAGTTCCCTAATATAACCGTAGTACTGAATGAAAGTGTTCATCAGTGGTGTGTCGTTACTTATCTAGAACGAAGATGAGTGTTTAACAAGTATTTATAAATGCTGACAACATGTGTGGAAGGTTGTATAGAAAAGGCCATTCGACGATCATGGTGATGCGCTAACGCGTACCACAGAGCTTTCTTGCGATTCGAAAAATGAGCGTGGCACACACGGCATATAGAAAAACGTTCTGCAAGCACTCTAAAGTACTCCGATAAGCTGACAGACTACCATTCTTACTGTAGAAGTCGCCGGAAGCGGTCGATGCACGGATGTACCGAACGGTGCTGAGATTGTGCCTGTGTAATCGTTCTTGAGCGGTAGCTTCGTAGTATCGAAATGTTGGCGGCCTTACGCTTGCGGGACAATAGACGGCCGTGGTCGTAAACTCATTGAGGACATTGCTAGAATAGCCGAGCTACTTGTGGCGTGGCCAGTCATACGTTATTGATATGTGCCGGCAGGTTTGACTTAATGCGGTGCTGAGGCTTTCAGAAGACGAAAGGTATTGCCGTCGAAGTCGTGGTTCTATTAGCTATTCGTTGATCGAACAGTATCGACGCGTGAATACCAATTGCACTATTAAGGCTATAACAGCAGCATTAGAAGCACTTTAATATTATCACGTCCTGTTGAATTAACGAATCTCAGAGCACTGCTAAAAGTAAATTATCGATGGGCAGTCCAAAAATTGGATGGAACCCATTGGGCTTTTAGGAGTTGGTATCTCTCTCTAACGAGCAATGGGCAGCTCGAAACAATTCGTTATAACGACAAGATCAACGTGCCAGATAAATAAGAGCTGAGGTTAGGTGAGACGTATCGAGAAGACGAGTATACATATAAGATCAAAACCACTTGGCCGATCTTAGAGAAATTCGCGGGGAACTCCATCAAAGCCATTCAAGTCGCAAGGTATTATTTCTGCATGTTGTCAGCATTGTCCAGCAGACAGCTTTGGTCAACAGTTCCACACAAGAGCATCATTCAGCAGAAATAACGACGTCACGTAAAGACACTGTAACTACTCTGTTCCAACAAACGCCGAAATTCGTTGGGGACATCAAACTTTGCGGAAAAACTATTAGAAACTGAACGAGGTCAACGGAGCAGGCCAAACCACTAATTTAGATTTCACACGGGAGCTGAGTTTTTTTTACCGATGCAGACACGCCAAGAGGAGTTGGCGATACACTAAGAGCACGACAAGGCGCATATAGAAATCGTTGGAGCTGCCGGTCTTTGCCATCCAGATCAACTGCGTATATTCGCTTAAACTGTAAGGACGTTGACGCAATCAAAGAAATAGGTATATTCAAGGAAACGCTTCCTCTTGATCTATTCTATATGTTATTGCGGTGTTTACAAATATTAGCATAAGACAGAATCGTTTCAGACAATTCGTTTTGGAACGACGTTCCTGAGAATATGTAAAACATGATACTATGTTAACAGCTCAGGAGTTGGCAACAAACCTATATGAACACGGCAAAAATTTACAAAGTGCATTTCCTTCGAGATCGAACTGCGTTATTTTACCTGAACACGATAACTTTATTGTATAATCAGAATCAAAATTGTCGTTAGAGGAAAAAGCTGGTCAATTCAGTTACGCCGTAGCTAATTCCGAAATATAAAGCCACGGTACATTTAAGACCGCTGAGTCTGTAACTGAGTATTTTTTTTTTATAAGTAAGACACTCAAACAAGCAAGCGAACAAACGGAATAGTATATAGGATGTACGGTCTAAAGACCAGATAGCGCACTGACGTTTCGGCACAAATGGGCTATGTTTAGCTAGTTGTCTGTGAATAAATTTTCCGGATCAAGACACCCCTCGGGCTACGTGAAGCACTATCATCGGAGAGGCCGTTTTGTCTTCCTATATCGTTATGTCAAATTTAAAGAGGTAATAGTTCATTTAGTTTGTAGTAAGCAGTCGTTTTGCTGAACATAGTTTGATAGGGATCAAAGCATCAGGCATCGGCTACCCAACAAAAAGGAACGGTAGTTAAGGGTACTCACAATATCATTGCGGTGGCTAATAGCGTCAATGGCCAGGAAATCTGTCGATATAGGCTTCATTGTTAAGGACCGGACGCTTTGCCTGTTATTTAATATATATAAATAATATATAATCTTCAACAAGATAATTGTAAGATTATTTTCCATATGTCGCCGGAACGGTTCTGCAAGTGGCAA